GACCTAGGGAGAATATGAAATGTAATAATTTGTTAGCACATTTTAGTTCTTGGTTTGTGAATGCTATACCCTGTGCTCGTTCTGGGAAGTCTAGGGAGGGGGGTGGGGGGAGGGAGGGGAAGGGAGGGTGGGAAGGGGAGGGGGGGTGAGGGGGGAAGGGTGGGGGGTGAAAATGTTTGTATTTTTCATAAAACTTTTCAATAAAAAAAAAAAAAGACACACCTGGTGGAAATGTATACACTCTCACATTCATAAAGAATTATAAAAATGCTAGAAAAGAAATAAAGAATATGTGGCTTTAGTAAGGAATACATTGGGAAGAAAACCTCAAAGACTTTCCACAGCCAATGGGGGTGCATACATAGTAGGCAATATTAAAACCTACCTGAAAAAGAAAAAGATTAGGCATAAAACCACACTGTGGCCTATACCCCGGAAGAGTAAGTTGTGGCAGAGAAATCATTCTGTGACTGAGAAGATGAGGTGTCTGCAGCAAGATGCAGACTGGAAGACAAATACTGAGATAAAGCAGCTCATGTAGCCAAGTACTTGGAGAACAAACTCCCAATAAAGCCACAAATGCAATTCTTACAAGCTAAAACACAGAAGGAAGCCTAAACTAATAACAAAGGTGAACCGCAGAAGTGAGAAAAGAGAGGGAAATTTTGATACAACTGGTCATTTTGGGGGCTGTTTTTCGTCCATTTTCATGCCATTTTAGGGTGGTTTTTCACCTGAAAAATAGGCCAAAACTGCCCAAAAAATAGGCCAAAAAACAGCTGAAAAATGAGCCAAAAAACGGCTGTTTTTTTACACATTTTTGGCTCTTTTTTGGGGGGGTGTTTTTCAGCCATTTTCATGCCATTTTTAGGTGGTTTTTTTGCCCTAAAAATGGCCAGAAAATGGCGACCGGGCCAGGGATAGGTGGTATTTTACTGATTCAGCAAACCAGGTCAAATTTCTGCTACCAGTTCACCCGAACTGATCCGAACTGGTCAAATACCACCTCTGCTGTACACTCTGTCTCATTATTTTCCATTACATCCTGCTTACCATTGCTTGGTTGAATATCTTCACTTTCTCTATCCAGCTCAGTCTGATTTCTCTGTCTGCCTGACATTCTCTTTAACTTCCTCCATTTATCTTGATTTTCCTTAGGCAATGACCATGACCATATCTCTTGGTACTTACAGGGTTCATTACGAATACTACCTACTCTAACCCCACTTGCACTGAACCACTCAGGAGGTATACCTTTATTACACCTTTCAGGTCTCCTAGGTATAACTCTGTTAGTTTGCCTTGAGTTTTTCCTACTCACAGGATACGCCTTCGATTTTGCCTCCTTACAAACAGCGTACTCTAAGTACATCTTGCACTGCTTTGGCTTTGGCTTATGCCCCTCAGCTAGAGCTGGCATCTTCTACAGTACTCTGCAACTCGCATGCCCCAATAAATGTACACAGTTGTCATGTGGGTGAGTGTTCATAAGTATTCACGCACAACCATTCTCCTGCCTTCCTAGAATGTACAAACCATCTTGCTTAATTCCTCGTGCACGAATTCTTCCACCCTTCCTTATGGAGTATTGTCCTCCAGCAAACAGTATTTCATACTGTTCATCTTAAGTGATGAAGAGATTGGACTGCCAGAAATGGTGTAGGGTCTCCTGCTTGGGTGGTGGGTGGGGGGTTTTGGACTAGATGACCTACAAGGTTCCTTCCAACTCTGTTAATCTGTAAACTATACCCTTGACTATCTAACCTGGAAATACTCAACAGATTATGATCTAATTCAGGAACATACAGTGGGGCAAAAAAGTATTTAGTCAGCCACCAATTGTGCAAGTTCTCCACTTAAAAAGATGAGAGAGGCCTGTAATTGTCATCATAGGTAGACCTCAACTATGAGAGACAAAATGAGAAAACAAATCCAGACAATCACATTGTCTGATTTGGAAAGAATTTATTTGCAAATTATGGTGGAAAATAAGTATTTGGTCAATATCAAAAGTTCATCTCAGTACTTTGTTATATATCCTTTGTTGGCAATGACAGAGGTCAAACGTTTTCTGTAAGTCTTCACAAGGTTGGCACACACTGTTGCTGGTATGTTGGCCCATTCCTCCATGCAGATCTCCTCTAGAACAGTGATGTTTTGGGGCTGTCGCTGGGCAACACGGACTTTCAACTCCCTCCAAAGTTTTCTATGGGGTTGAGATCTGGAGACTGGCTAGGCCACTCCAGGACCTTGAAATGCTTCTTACGAAGCCACTCCTTCGTTGCCCGGGCGGTGTGTTTGGGATCATTGTCATGCTGAAAGACCCAGCCACATTTCATCTTCAATGCCCTTGCTGATGGAAGGAGGTTTGCACTCAAAATCTCACGATACATGGCCCCATGTATCTTTCCTGTTTACACGGATCAGTCGTCCTGGTCCCTTTTGTTGTGGCTCCGTCCTCCGAGCCTATCTTATCGGAGGAAGAAGGCTCCAAACATGAAGGAGAGGAGACGGCCAGGCCTCCCTCTCCAGGACCCTCCTCTCTGGCAATGCCTCCGGAGGACACCGAAGGCCAAACGATAGGTTCAGAGCCAAGCATGTCCCCGCAGCCACAGGTGGACAGCGACAAGGAAAATAAGTGCTGGCTGGACCCTCGCCAGAGGCGCAGGGAGAAACGTGCGCAGCAGAGGGGAAGGCGTGCCAGAGATTAGCTGAGTCACGTGGCCACACCCCACAGGCTATAAAAGGGAGTGTGGTGGCCATTCCGATTCTGTGACGGACAAAGCTAATCTCTGGCAAAGCACTTTGCACCTTTGAACACAACATCTATTTGCCGTGGATTTAATTCAAACTGTGTGTATTTTTGTCTGTGTTATCGGAGTAAAAGCTCTTGGCAGGCAGCCACCGAGTTGCTGCCAAGTTCCTTATCACTGACGTGTGTTTGAAGAGTTTATTTAACCCTCGGCTGGCTGGTTGGGTGTGTGCGTGATAAGGGGACAGAACACCTTTGCAGAGAAACAGCCCCAAAGCATGATGTTGCCACCCCCATGCTTCACAGTAGATATGGTGTTCTTTAGATGCAACTCAGCATTCTCTCTCCTTCAAACACGACGACTTGTGTTTCTACCACACAGTTCTACTTTGGTTTCCTCTGACCATATGACATTCTCCCAATCCTCTTCTGGATCATTCAAATGCTCTCTAGCAAACTTCAGACGGGCCCGGACATGTACTGGCTTAAGCAGGGGGACACGTCTGGCACTGCAGGATCCCTGGTGGCGTAGTGTGTTACTGATGGTAGCCTTTGTTACATTGGTCCCAGCTCTCTGCAGGTTATTCACTAGGTCCCCCCATGTGGTTCTGGGATTTTTGCTCACCGTTCTTGTGATCATTTTGACCCCACAGGGTGAGATCTTGTGTGGAGCCCCAGATTGAGGGAGATTATCAGTGGTCTTGTATGTCTTCCATTTTCTAATTATTGCTCCCACAGTTGATTTCTTCACACCAAGCTGCTTGCCTATTGCAGATTCAGTCTTCCCAGCCTGGTGCAGATCTACAATTTTGTTTCTGGTGTCCTTCAACAGCTCTTTGGTCTTCACCATAGTGGAGCTTGGAGTGTGACTGTTTGAGGTTGTGGACAGGTGTCTTTTATACTGATAACAAGTTCAAACAGGTGCCATTAATACAGGTAATGAGTGGAGGATAGAGGAGCCTCTTAAAGAAGAAGTTACAGGTCTGTGAGAGCCAGAAATCTTGCTTGTTTGTAGGTGACCAAATACTTATTTTCCATCATAATTTGCAAATAAATTCTTTCCAAATCAGACAATGTGATTGTCTGGATTTGTTTTCTCATTTTGTCTCTCATAGTTGAGGTCTACCTATGATGACAATTACAGGCCTCTCTCATCTTTTTAAGTGGGAGAACTTGCACAATTGGTGGCTGACTAAATACTTTTTTGCCCCACTGTATAAGACATTATTTAATGTTTCTCCTATCTCAGGTACATAGACTTTACCTTCCCCTTTAACAGCAGATCGTTGTCCATTGGACAAACTAACAAATGTTTGCTTAGCTGGTCTCAAGACAGAAAATGTTTGTGGATTAATAGCAACATGCTGACTCGCCCTATACTCTCATTTTTGCAGCATTTTTGCAGCATTTTTCTCATCCACAGCCTCCTTCATATCATCATTCCATCAAGCATTTCCACTAGGAAATGTCACACATATTTGTGCCACTATAACAAAATTCTTTTCACTCTACTATTAGCAGCATTAAAATCATATTTCCTTAAACTTTATATTCATTGTATTACAAAATTAGATTATTTTTTTCAAACAAGATTTTTACTTTCCTTTCTTGTAATTGCTCTATTTTCATTTTGTATACTTTTTAAAAAAAATTTGATTTATATGCCTCCCTTCTCCGGAGACTCAGGGCGGCTTACAATGCGTTAAGCAATAGCCTTCATACTTTTGTATATTTATACAAAGTCAGCTTATTGCCCCCACAAACTGGGTCCTCAGTTTACCTATCTTAGAAAGGATGGACGGCTGAGTCAACCTTTTATTTCTTTCCTTTTCTTCCATGTTTATTATTTCCCAAGAATCACTCCTAACTTTATTAGCAGGGGTGAAATCCAGCAGTTCGGACAGATTCCGGAGAACCAGTAGCATAAATTTTGAGCAGTTCAGAGGATCGGCAAATACCACCTCTGGCTGGCCCCAGAGGGGGTGGGAATGGAGATTTTGCAATATCCTTCCCCCAGGAGTGGGGAGGGAATGGGGATTTTGTGGAATCCTTCCCCTGCCATGTCCACCAAGCCACACCACGCCCACCAAGCCACACCCACAGAACCGGTAATAAAAAAAAAATGATTTCACCACTGCTTAATAGGCTCTCATTAAGAATCTATCACACTTTTATTCTTCACAAGTCTATGTGAAAAAATATAATATATTTATCATATAGGGACTGAATTGTTAATAATCTTACGTACAGCTGCCAAATTTCAATGGGCATGAATGAGCATCCATAGGAAAATCTTCTAAGTGCATTGGACATTCAGCCTGGACTGTAAGCCTAAAAGGGAAAATGTCAATTCATGGTTATCTTCTGCTAAGAGATCATGAAAATCAATTTCTCAAAAATTAATTGAATGAACACAAAGATCATTTATATTAAACTAAATATCAATTTAATGCAATTTGCTGGTTTATATTATAGGCTCCTTCAATGGACAGTTTTATGTCAAAATATTAGACATACTTTATTCACAATTATTAGGAAAGACCAACTGAATTAATATATAAATTATAGAATCATAGCTTGTCTAATAACAATTAGAAGTCTATGCCACATGGATAAACAATTCATAGTCCAGGCAAATATTTCATAGTCAGAGGAAACCAATGGGTAATTTAATTTCTGCTATTTCAACCAAAGCAAGCAAATAATTACATGATAAAATGGAAATAAACATACCAGAGGATCATGACATACACTATAATTATCTCAGGATAGCTGTCTCATTTTTATGTCATTATTTGAAGCATTTAATATAATATAGAGTTAGGTTGCCCCATTCAAATATGAAATTTAAATTACTGCAAGAAGCTTGTAATTTTTCTTCTATATTTTTTATCTCACTTTTATTATTTTTATAAATAATTCAAAGTGTTGAACATATCTAATACTGCTTACTTGACCTGTTTTCTACATAACAGCAACCCTGTGAGGTGAGTTGGGTGAAAGAGAATGACTGACCTAATCAGCCATCCAATTTTCATGCTTAAGGCAGGAGTAGAATTCACAGATTCCTGGTTTATAGCTTGGTGCCTTAATCACTAGACCAAATGCCATATGTCAATATACAGTATAACATACAGATAATACAGGTAGTCCTTGGGTTACGAATGCAATGGAGCCTGTCCATTCCATTTGTAACCCAAGGATTCGTGGGAGTGAATCTTGTACCTTGAATGAGCTCATTCCCTGCTTTCGCCCATGCATTCAATAATCGAATGCCCGGCTTGTTAAGTGCACATGAGGTATCTCAGGGTTGGGAAGGCCATGGGGGTGGGGGGCTAGTGATGGAGCAGACCACCAGACCATCCAAAGCCTCCCCTGACCCATAGCTACCTCATTCTCCCTTCCCTGGGGTCCCCACAATTGCTTCCCCCTCCATCCTGCCGCACTGACTTACCTTATGAAGATCTGTCTCCTCTCCAGCCTGTTTCCTTGCCTGCTTCCTCCTTTCTTGTCAGCAAAGAGCTTGATGAGGACTGTGGCAATGAAAAAGGGGGCCCAGAGGGTCACGCACGGCCTTCTGGGCCTCATTTTTCATTGCCAAAGGCCTCGTCAAGTGCATCTGGCACAAGAAAGGAAGCCCTAAAGGCTGTGTGTGGCCTTCTGGGCCTATTTTTTCATTGCTGGAGGCCTCATCAAGTGGAACCCCAGTGAGAAAGAAGGCCCAGAAGGCCACGCGCAGCCCTCCGGGCCTCCTTTCTCATCAGCAAAGCGCTTGAGGATTGCACCCCTGTAGGCTTTGGCAGCCCTTTTCAAAAAGGCTTTGCAGGTAGGAACAGAGCTTTGGAAGGATGTACCAGCCCCTCCCAAGCTCTGCTGTTGCCAACAAAGGCTTTTTTCAAAGGGCTGCCAAAGCCTACAGGGACGCAATCTCTCTGCATGCTTCGGCAAGGAAATGGAAAATGGAGGGAAGGCCTGAAGCCTTCCCTCCTGTTGTGGCCCGCCAGCTGCCAGCAGAGCTGGTGGCAGACTCAGACGATGAGGTGGTTGGGAAGAAACTTGGGACAGTCCTGGAGCCTGGGGAAGGCTCTGATGGATGCTCTGTATCAGAAGCAGAGATAGAGCCAGACATTTCTCAGCTGCCTTCGGAGTCGGAGATAAGTGGGGAGGAAGAACAGCTTAAGCCAGTTCCAGATGTGTGCATGCACAGAGCTGTTAGAAGAGGAGAACAACTGAGTACAAGGAGACGACTCAGGAAGAAAGTATCCACACATGGATGCTGTATGGCCCCTCCCTGGCTGGGGAATAAATAGAAGGAAAGGGAATGGGTGGTTGCAGGAGACAACTGTTCGGATTTCTTTCGGAAGATTTGCTTATTGTGGTTCCTGCCTCAGAGACTGCTTGCCAGAACTTAATTTACAGCTTTGTGACTGGAAGCTCCTGGCCTGGCAAGTATCCCAAGGAAGGTCTGTTACTGGAATTAACCCTTTGAAGGATTATTGCCTGGACTTTTCAGTGTGTGAATGCCAGTAATTCACAGGAGCTAAATAAAGAGGGGTTTTTTTTGGAACAAGGAGTCTGTTTCTTGGTTCTGCTAAGGCTGGGTCAGAATACCTTCATTTGCAAACATCCAGGCCTCAATTCACAGAGAATAGAGGCCTAAGTGCGAGATCAGCAGCACAAGATCTCGTACTGCTGATCTCACATGATCTCACGGTACATTAGGCCTCTGTTTTCTGTGAATGAACCAAAAACCTGAAGCAACGAAGCAGGCAAAGAAACATGACAGAGATGAGATCTTTGCAAGGTAAGTGAGTCTCTACAGGCAAAATGCCTGTGAAGACCTTGCCGGTGGGTGGGGGAATAGGCAGGATGAATGTTTCAGAGCCTCTGGGTTCATTCGTAAGAGCAAACAACTGCTATGGTGCTGCAATATTCATAATTTCAGGACTTGTTCATAAACGCTAGGAGGTGCTTGTCACGTAATTTCAAATGTTCACTAAGGGAATGTTCATAACCTGAAGAATACCTGTATAGGAACTACAAACAGAAAAGGAAATGAATGAAAAGAAAAGCTCATACCTCATAGTATATAAAAGAGTACCATCATCCTGGATTCGTAGTAGCTTGTTTGGCATAGTCATGTTGTGAGCTATTGACTTCTTTCCATTATGAAAGAATGTATCTGGAGTCCAGATTTTGCTGGCCATTAAATTATTCAGTCGGAGAATGTTCATGGGACCCTTGAATTTTAGCCTTTCATCTTTCCATTTTTGGCGGAAGAAAACATCTATTGTGTACTCCTGTAGTGGAAAAAAATGTTTCAACATGACAGTCAACTAAAAACAACAAGGCAGGTAGGCAATCTTTAATAAGCAATTCTTTTAAAAAATAAAATCTACCAATAAATAAATAATTCAGGAGTTTCTTGATCAAAACAAATTTATATGGGGGCTGAATTTATAGTCCTTTGAAAAAATTCTGGTCTACACCCTGATGAACCTGTACTGGAAAGCATCCTATTAGGTTAGAAGCTATCATAATAGTGTTTTATCTTGTTTTTGGTAAATAACCTGCAGGTGTCATTAATCTGATATTTGAGATAGATCCAGGATCATAGTATGACTCTATTACAACCCAGAGATCATATTCCCTCCACTCCTTTCACTTGGAGTCAGGATTTTCTCCATCCCTTTCTACCAGCACTATTGTTGAGATCTGCCTGCTTAGAACTTTGTCTGCTAAGTAGTTTCTTCTGTCCATACTAGATGGTCATACTTTTTTCTCTGGGAGTGGAAGACACAGAAATGAGTTTGTAAATTAAAATCCTATAAAAGAGATTTCCAAAGCAAACACTTTTATTTTTCAAAGAGGGATTATAGAGATTTTCTTAGTGGTATTTATATATTAGAATCTAGATTACTTATGGATTAGTTTCTCCAACACTCACATTTTCATTCAACATTTATATGATGATACCTTTTTCTAGAGTTATTCAAGTTTTCCTTCCATTTTTTCTCCTACCTAAAACAAGTGATAGTTTTTTCTTCTGCTGCTGTAGTTCTCACAAGACATGCTGCTTGTCAAATGGAGTAAGCACTGACTCCAGATACTTGCCATAATCAACTACTCCCCTATTATGATTCTTGACGGATCCATTTGTATATCCATATAAATTGTCTTAATACTCTCCCCAATCTCTTGACATCAGTTGAGTCTGGTAAACACTAATAGTAGGAGCTCTTAAATGATGGATCATCAACTTTGCAATTGCTCAGAAAATACAGTACTCTAAGCATCTGTTTTCAGGCCTTTATGAATCTAAGATAACTTTTATTGTCACTTTTCCTGTGTACACAGTGGCACACATTAAAAATGAAATTCTGATGCCCACCCTCAAAAGAACACACACACACATACATGTCCATTTGGTATACATCCAGTCCAAGGGTGGGTTCTACTTACCTTTACTACTGGTTCACTATGGGAGCACGTGCGCGCACGCTTCTGCTCATGCACAGAAACTTCATAGTTAATTATGACATCCAGGCAGGTAGGCGGAGCCTCTGCTACTTTTACTACCAGTTCTAAAGAACCGGACAGAACGAGGAGCAACCCACTACTGATCTAGTCTATTTTGAATACATAGTAGAAAAAAGAGTCTTGAGAGTTAAGAAGGTTGGTACTATATGTTACAAAGCTATTACGGAATCTAGTTATTCTGTTTTAGGTATCACAAAGCCTCCTCCCAGAAAATAACCAGGAAAGCCAGTCAAGGAGAAGATGTGTGCACATCCCCATCAAGCATCGCTTATAGTCCATGTCCTGGACAAAAGGAAGTGAGCTTCCTTTATGAACATTTTATTTTAGTTTGCTTCTGATTGATGTTGTTTATTATTAATCTGATACTATTTGTTTTATATATTACTTGTTTGTTTAAACTGCTTATGTGCTGATTTCTTGATATAATGAAGTATTCCATTATATACGTTACATTACAAAGTAAATTAAAATCCTTGTTCACAGAGTCAACAAATCATAAATCTATACAGTACTATCACCACTAATAATAATTGACTATCTTGAAGCTAAAGTATTTAATTGGGGCAGAACTGGAATAAACTGGAATAAGAAGGATTTATTGAATAATTTAGAGTCGATTACTCCATTCCAGTCTCCCATAATTAAAATAGATCTGTAATCCCATTGCAATATTTTAGTATGTAACATCTTATAGAAATAGTCCTGTTGTTGATTGGGAGCATAAATCCCAATCAGAAGAATTTGGCCATTTGCTGTAGACAATTCAATTGCTACAAACCTACCATCTTCATCTGTTTCTATAACTTTAGCTGTTAACTTTTTATTTACATAAATAACCACACCATTCTTTTTTTGTGAAGTTGAAGATATAAAATGTGTTCCTAGTTTGGAGTTTATCAAATATTTTTGATCTTGAGTTGTGATATGTGTTTCTTGTAAACAAATTATATCATTATTAAATTGTTTCAAATATGTAAATAATTTCTTCCTTTTCTGTGCTGAATTCAACCCATTAACATTCCAGGATAAACACTTAAACATCATCAGCCTCTTTCTGGAGCAAAGAGCAAAATAATTGAAGATCATCCGAAAGCTTCGATCTCGCTCCTCCCATAGCTCCAGTCTCTTGTGCAGTACTCTTAACTGCCTCCTTGTCTTGTCTTTCCTGTTGTTGTTGTTGCTTTTGTTTAAGTAACTTAGATTGAGCTCGAGTTATACGTTGATCCTTAACTTCAATCATCCGAACCGGGTCCAAGATTGGAGAAGATTCCAGCAAGGGCTCATCCAGAAAACCTCCTTCTGCACCTTGCACTTCCTCTAATTCCTGCTTAGACTGTTCTTGCAGTTCTCGTTGGGGTTGCTTCTCTTCACTCTCTTTAATCTCCAAAACTGTAGATGTACGTGGAGATGGTGTTCTTTCCTTAAAAATAGTAGTGTAGAAGTGCTGTGCCTTCTCCACGGTATTCAAACGGTATCTTTCTCCCTTGTATCTGAAAATTATGCCAACTGGTGCGTCCCACCGGAAAGGTATCTGTAAATTTTGCAATTCCTTAACAAGAAAGCCAAATTCTTTTCTAGCTTTCAGCATTTTAGGAGGCAATTCTTTATAAATTCCAATTCGTGAGCCCCCCACTTGTACAGAAGTGTAAAAGGATTTTTGCAGGATATCGTTTCTTATTTCTCTATCTGTAAAATATATGACCACATCTCTAGGTAATTGTCTTTGTCTGGCCACCCAGGAGTTCACTCTGTAAATTTTGTCTATTTTGTGAAAAACCACATCTGGATTAACTTGTAAAATCTTAGCCAGGGCCTCAGAACAAACTTGTCTCAAATCCTGTCTTTCCTCCTCTCGAATTCCTCGAAGCCGTATAGCAAACTCCATTGCCCTGAATTGTATCATGACAATCTCGTTTTCAACTCTTTGCATTTTATTGTCAACATCAGCAATTTTATAATCATTGTCTTTCATCTTAACATTAACTTCTGATTTAAGTTCTTCAACTTTAAAATCAACTTTCCCAATAAATTCTGCCAGGCCAGATGCCACTTCTGATATTTTTTTGGTCACCTTGTTTTGATTCTGTTTCACCATATCTTTAACTTCATTAATTTCCTGCATAAACTCCTGATGTGATTTTTGAAGTTTATCATCTATCTCCTGTTGAGATTTTTGAAATTTGTCATCCAAAGTTCTAGAAATAAATTCTTTTAAATCTCCCACATCAAATTCTTTTTTCTGAGTCTGTAGCTGTTGAGCAGGGGGAAGCTGCGTTTCATGTTTGTGTGTGGGGGATCCCCCCCCTGTTGCCTTCCCTTCCTGCTTCTTTGAAGCCATCCTGCCACGTGATCTAGTTTTTCTAAAGAGAGAAGTTCCTTTTCCTTTCCCTCCTGCACAAAGACTTCTAAAAAAGTCCCCCAGATTTGATCAAATAAAGGTTGAAGTAAAGCAAAGTCAAGTATTAAAAAGGGAGAAATTTTCCACTTGTTTCTCTTATTACAAACAAGGCAACTTTGTAGCAACTTGGAAACTTTGTAACAAAACAAGATAACTTCACCAATCCACACTCGCTGGCTCGTTAACTCTAAGGCTGAGCGCCATGTTTTTTCAAAGCACTTTCACTCATTCGCATTTTTCTCAGTTTAAAAAGTCAACAAAGCGCTAATACTTGCGTTTCCAAGTTTCAGGATTCAGGTAATTTCGCTGTTTATTAAAGCTGGTTCTTTTCGCTTTGAGTTTCCTGCAGCCGGCTTGTTCTGCAAAAGCAGAATCGTCCCACGTCGCCCGGAGTTTCAGCAGGTTGGGAGGGAGCCACGCCTGTTCTCTCCCCAGAAACTTCCCTGGGGGGTTACAGGGGCTCGACCTGTGCCCTGCGATCTCTTCTTCCTCAATCCTACGGATTTGGAAGTTTTCGAGCCGCTTCTTCGTCTCGGAGCGGCTCTACGGGCGGCGGGGCTGGCGGAGCTTCAAAAGGCGCCGCCGTCGCCGAAGACAGGGAAACCGGAAGTCCTGCTTATGTGCTGATTTCTTGATATAATGAAGTATTCCATTATATACGTTACATTACAAAGTAAATTAAAATCCTTGTTCACAGAGTCAACAAATCATAAATCTATACAGTACTATCACCACTAATAATAATTGACTATCTTGAAGCTAAAGTATTTAATTGGGGCAGAACTGGAATAAACTGGAATAAGAAGGATTTATTGAATGATAGATATCCCAGTTACATCATTTTAAAGTTCCCATTTATTATTACATAGGAAATGCTCCAATATTTTGGAAAAAAGAGCAAGATTTTCTAAATACTTTTTTCATTGCTCATAGTTTAAGAAAATCTTATACATTTTTCTGAGTAATCAGCAACAATCCTAATTATCTATCTAGATTTAATATTACATGTTTCCACTACAATTGTGGTGATTACTCATTTAATGTTATAGGTTGTTTTGTTTGCTTTTGTTTTACAGCAGAGTTGTCAAACTCAATGCCCACGGGCCGGATCCAGTCCATGGGGTGCTTAAATCCGGGCTGGCCTGGAAATATCAAAGGACTGGCCCGTGGTGCCTCTGTCAGCCAAAATGGGCTGCCTAGGGGTGTGTGTGTGTCTCTGTGCTGCCCATTTTTGGCCAGCAGGGTGCTGCTGGAGGCTGGGGAGGTGGAAAACGGCCCATGCAGGGGCCTCAGGAGGCCTCCGTGTGGCCTGTTTTGGCCAGCAGGGTGCTTCAGGAGGCGTCTGTCCCATCCCCCCCCCCC